TGTTGAGGCAGGCCTGTCTTGCTATAATCTTCCCTCTTAGAACCGCTTTTGCTGTATCCCATAAATTTTGGCATGTGGTATTTTCATTTTCATTTGTCTCCAGATTTTTTTTTATTTTTCCTTTGATTTCTTCATTGACCCAATCATTGTTCAGTAGCATTTTGTTTAATCTTCACATATTTGTGGCTTTTCCAATTTTCTTCCTATAGTTGATTTCTAGTTTCATACCATTGTGGTCAGAAAAGATGCTTGGTATTATCTCAATCTTCTTAAATTTATTGAGGCTTGTTTTGTGGCCTAATACATGATCTATTCTGGAGAATGTTTCATGTGCATTTGAAAAGAATGTGTATTCTGCAGTGTTTGGATGGAATGTTCTGTATATATCTCCTAAGTCCATCTGGTCTAATGTATCATTTAAGGCCAATATTTCCTTGTTGATCTGCTGTTTGGATGATCTATCCATTGGTGTAAGTGAGGTGTTAGAGTCCCCTACTATTATTGTGTTACTGTCTATTTCTCCTTCTATGTCTGTTAATAATTGCTTTATACATTTAGCTGTTCCTATGTTGGGTGCACAGATATTTACAAGTGTTATATCCTCTTGTTGGATTGTTCCCTTTATCATTATCTAGTGCCCTTCTTTGTTGCATGTTACAGTTTGGTTTTAAAGTCTATTTTGTCTGATATAAGTATTGCTACCCCAGCTTTCTTTTCATTGCCATTTGCATGGAATATCTTTTTCCATACCTTCACTTTCTGTTTGTGAGTGTCTTTAGGTCTGAAGTGTGTCTTTTGTATGCAGCATGTATATGGGTCTTGTTTTTTTATCGAATCAGCCACCCTATGTCTTTTGATTAGAGCATTTAGTCCATTGACATTTAAAGTAGCTGTTGATAAGTATGTACTTATTGCCATTTTGTTACTTTTTTTTCTGGGTATTTTAGTAGTTCTTTTCTGTTCCTTTCATCTTTTCTTGCTCTCTTACCTTGTGATTTGATGGCTTTCTTTAGTATTATGTTTGAGTTCCTTTCTCTTAATTTTTTGTGTATTTATTATAGGTTTCTGGTTTGTGATTACCATGAGGTTCATATATAATAACCTACATATATAGCAATATATAGTAAGTTGATGGTCTCTTAAGTTTGACCTCTTGCTAAAAGCTCTGCTCTTTTACTTCCCTCCTCCCACATTTTATGTTTTTGATATCATATTTAATCTCTTTTTTATGCATGTGTATCTGTTACCCTCTTATCAGAGAAATAGATAATTTTAGTACTTTTGTCTTTTGACCTTCATATTAGCTTCATAGGTGGTTGATCTGCTACTTTTACTGTATCTTTGCCTTTACTACTGATTTTATTTATTTATTTATTTTTGGTAATTTTTAAATTCCTATTTGTGGTCTTTTCTTTTCCACTTAAATAACTCCTTTTAGCATTTCTTGTACGGGTGGTTTATTGGTGATAAACCCCTTTAGTTTTTGCTTGTCTGGAAAACTCTTTATCTCTCCTTCCATTCTGAACGATAACCTTGCGGGGTAGAGTATTCGCGGCTGTAGGTTTTCTCCTTTCAGAACTTTAAGTGTATCATGCCACTCCCTTCTAGCCAGTAAGTTTTCTGCTTGAGAAGTCAGCTGATAGCCTTATGGGGTTTCTTTTGTATGTATCTTGTTGCCTTTCTTTTGCAGCTTTTAGGATTCTCTTTTTATCTTTAATTCTTGACATTTTAATTATGATGTGTCTTGGTGTGGGCCTCTTTGGGTTTATCTTGTTTGGTGCTCTCTGTGCTTCCTGTATCTTGATGTCTGTTTCCTTCCTTAGGTTAGGTAATTTTTCAGCTACTATTCCTTTGAGTAGATTCTCTGTCCCTTTGTCTCACTTCCCCTTCTGAGACACCAGTGACACGGATGTTAATGCACTTTATGTTGTCCTAGAGGTCCCTTAGACTGTCCTCATTCTTTTAAATTACTTTTTCTCTTATCTATTCAGCTTTGGTGATTTCCTCTTGTCTTTCATCTAGCTTGCTGATCCATTCTTCTTTGTCATCTACTTTGCTATTGAGTTCCTCTAGTGAATTTTTCATTTCCAGTATTGTATTCTTCATTTCCAATTGGTTCTTTTTTATATTTTCCAATTCTTTGTTGAAGTTCTCACTGAATTCATCCATTTTTCTCCCAAGATCAGTGTGCATCCATGTGACTATTAGTTTGAACTCTTTTTCAAGTAGGTTGTTTATCTCTGTTTCATTTAGTTCTTTTCCTGAGGATTTGTCCTGTTCTCTTATTTGGAACATATTCCTTGTTTTGCCCTTTTCTCTGTGCTTATATCTATGTATTATGTAGATCAGTTATGTCTCCCTATCTTGGAGAGGTGGCCTTAAGAGATGCTGTATGAGGACCAGCAGTGTGCGTCTCTTTCATCACCAGTTCCAAGAGTGTCCCCTGTGTGGGCTACATGTGTCCTTCTGTTGTGGTAGGGTTGCTCTTGCTGCAGGTGCATGGGGAGGCTAGGCTGTCGCCATGGCTGGCTGGTTGTAATGCTCAGCTGTGTGCAGCAGCTATGGTTCCTTCAGTCACTTTATTGGGTGTGGGGACCCCCAGCACAGTTGGCTGCAAGGTCTAATAGCACATTCCTGCTGAAGTTTTTGTGTCAAGTGAGTAGGCCCTCAGTGTGGCTGGTTGCTAGGCTCAGGGGCTCACAATTGCTGTAGGCATGCAGCCTGCAAGGATGTCAGCTCTCAGTAGTGCAGCTGAGTGGGGCTGGCCCCAGGCATGGCAGCAGACAATTGTTTCAGGTGTTGGAAGGTGGGGTCGATCCCGTATGTGGCTGTCTGAGAAGCATAAGTCTGCTACAGCTGACAAGCCCCACTGCCCACAGGCCCACACACCCCGTGAATGCAATCCTGTCCTGTCTGCATGCCCTGACCCACTGAAGTGGACCCACTCGCCCCAGTGTAGAGGCCCCATACACCCCGGCTATGTGGACCCACAAGTTGCCTGAGGGCTTGCTGTTGGGTGGGGCCAGTCCCTAGGGATGGGCTGCCTGCCCTAGCTGAGCTGGATTAAATCAGTGCTCTAGTAGGTGGGGCAGACCCCTGGACTAATAGGCCAGGGGGAGAACTCCAATGGCATCTGCCAGTATCTGTGTCAGCACAACTGTACTAGGTCACAATAATGGCTGCCACCAATTTCTCAGTCCCTGGGGCAGTGGTCCCAGCCTGAGGAGGTCTTGCATCTCACTGAGATTCACCTAGAGCCTATCAAGTGAGTCTCTTTTCACCAAAGGACTGTGTACCTTTCTGGTGATTTTAGGTTGCTTTCCAAAACAGGTGGAATTGTGCATGGGCCCTTTAAAAGCAGGCTTTTCTTTCCCTTATCTTCGATGGCTTTTCTGGGGGTATTATGTGTTGTTAATAGCCAGCAAAGCGAGATACTATGACACTTGTCTTGGTTGTGCTGAGTCCAAAAGCTGCTTATAGTGGCAAAGCTTCCCCACTCAGATCCCCCACTCCTTCAGGCAATGCTTTGTACCTTAACATTGCTCCAAGTCATGAAGCGGCATGGCTGGAAGGTAGCTTTATCCTCTCCAGGAAGGAATTTCTGCCTCTTCCACCTCAGTCAGCACTGTCCCTTGTTGCGGGGGTTCATTTATCCAGTTTGCAGTTTTCTCTCAGGGGTAATTGTTCCAAAGATAGTTGTAGGTTTATTGTGTCTATAGGAGGCGGGGAGTTTAGAGTCTTCCTACACTGCCATCTTCCCAGCAGTCTCTCTGTTCCTCTGCTTGAAATGTACTCCCTCTGGTCTTGCCATGGCTGATCCCTCCCCACCCTGCACATTTCAGCTTCAATGTCACCTCCTCACAGAGGCCACCCTGGCCACCATCTAAGCAGGGATTCCCATTCTTCTCTAGAGACACGTTCTATTTGTTTCTTTTGTTGCACCAATAATTATGGAAAATGACCTTGTTAATATGTGTTCCCTGAGGCCAGGGCCGCTGTTTTGTTCACCCTGGGTCCCTAGTGGCTAAGTCAGTGCTCAGCACAGGCAGCAGCGGGCAACTAAATATCCAGGGAATGGAGTAAGAGTTCTGTGTGGAAGGAGTGGTAAAGGGGAACCTGAAGTGTGATATGGGGAGCAGACACCAGAGCATGGATGCTCAGAGTGGTCCTGCCAACCTTCACCCACCCCTGACCCAGGAAGATAGGCCCCGTGGTGGCCCAGGCTGGATGACCCCTGCTTGTTCACTCAGTTGGTTATAACTCAGGTCTAGGAATTTCAGGTACGTGTGGGCCAGCAGGAGTTCAGCAAGGTACTGGGCCGCCTCGTCCTCCAGGCCGTTCCCTGCTAGCTGTACCTTCTGCGTGGCTGGGTTCACTGTGAGGACGGCACACACAACCTGGGTGCCCACCGCCCCCAGCTGGTTTTCCAACAGCTCCACATCTGGGGGCCAGCACCACTACCCAGTCAGTGGGCTCCAAAGTAAGGCACCACCCTCCTCCATTCTCCTCCATCCCCCAGGCCTGAGGCAGTGGAAGGTGCTGTGCAGGCGGACTGTCCTGGGGTTGCATGGCGACTCTGCAACCCATCGGCTGGATACACCACCCCTACCCCATGGGTCTACGGGCTTCTTTATCAAAGAGTAAAATCACCTCCTTTGTGGTGCTGTAGAGGATGCTGTGATGGAGCTGTAGCCACCCCGTTGATGACTCGTGCCTGGCAGCAATATAACCCCCACAGAAGCCCTCACGGCCACATCTCTGGGGACTGGTAATGACAGCCCAAGAGGCCATGCACGGAGCACTTACATGGTCCAGACTCTCTGCTGAGCATCTAATGCTCATCACAACCCTGAGGGCTAAGTGGTATTGTTGGGTCTGTTTCATAGATTGGAAACTGAAGCTCAGCGAGGTTGAGCTGCTTGCCCAGGGTCACCCTGATCTTCTGTGGCAGAGGTGGCATTTGGATCCAGCCCCACCAAACTCCCCCCTGCCTTCCCTCCTCTCCCACTGCCAGCCCTTGTCTCTCTGTGTCAAAGGACTCTCCCCCTCGCATTCAGGCATTGAGAGGCCACCATCTGCAGGGGGTGCGGCCCGGCAGAGGAGGCGGTATGGGGTGGGGCAGGTCAGGAAGGGAGTGGTGTCCAGCTTTGGGTCCCCTAGCAACACCAGCAGGTCCAGGGGGAGAAGGCCTGGCTGTGGGGGCCCCACAGCCCTCAGGAAAGGGAAGACTCCAGTCTGCCCACCTGTCCCAGGCTTGGCAACTCCCACAGATGCTGCTGCTTTTGCTCAGGGCAACTGCCAGGGCCTCTGCTCCAGCCCCACAGATCCCAGTTCTGAAGGTCCAACCACTTGACATAGGGATTGAGGGTCAATGCAGAAGCCAGAGCCTGGGCCCCTGGGACAGAGAGGGGCCTGAGAGGCCTGGTCCTTCCCAGGGCTGAAGGCCCCATACATAGCTGGTCTCTGCCCTGGCTCCTGTTCCCAGGGCTCAGCCCACTCGATGCCCTCCAACTGGAAGGACCCTCCTTCCCACAGGCCCAGGGGACACTGGCTTCTTCTTCTAGGCTCCACCAGACCTCCTGGGGCCTTCCCTGACCCCCCAGTGCGTTAGGGGCCCCCTGAAGGCTCCCCAGCCCTTACACTGATCTCCATCAGAGCCTGGATCCCATCTGTCACCCAGATGTGGGGTATGGGACATACCTGGCACAGAGCAAGACTGGGGAATGTGTGGGGTAGGCTCAGGGAGGGCCACTCCCATGGCTGCTGCCTCCCAGAGCCCCCCTCCACACCTGGCCTTGGGTCCCTCCAGGGGTACCTGGGGCTGCAGGCCACGACGCCACAGGCTCAGCTCTGGGGTGCTTTCCTGGTGCAGGAAGCAGGAGGCAGGCATGAGGCTGTGGGCCCGGCAAGACCTCAGGTGGACGGTGTCCTTGACCAGTTCTCCAAGCCCATGGGTGCCTGATAGAGACAGGGGTCCATGTGGCCCCCTTCCCAGGCAGAGCCACCTGCCTCCTCCCCTGCCCTGTCACTACCCAGCCTGTTTCCCTCTAGAGTCATGTGTTCTTGCGCTAGTAGGGACTCCTGCCCCATATACAGGTGGGACAATGAGGCTCGGAGAAAGCAAATCCTTTCCCCAAAGTCACACAGCGAGTAGTAGCTGATCCCGGCAGAGCCAGGCTTAGGACCCTGCCTGTCTGACAGCGAAGTGTGTGCTGTGTCTTTTCTGTGGGATCACAGAACACATATGTTTTATAACCATTTTATAGGGGAAAACACTGCAATAATTCTAAGTTCTATATCCATTAGCTTAGTTTCTCCTGTTGGTTGCGAAAACCCAGCCCTGATGCCATTTCAGGAAAGGGTGGGACACCCCTTCTTAGACAGTTTGGCTAGGTTTGTGCATTTTAACATCATTCTGGAAGCGTATTGTTAATGGTGGAACAACTGATGCCGCTGGCTGCCCTGAAGGTGTCCCACGGAGGGATGTGCTCTCTGTGGGACAGGGGTCTCTTGTCCCCTCGGCTGCAGCCTGCCCCCTCCATCCCTGCCTAGAAGCTCCCAAGGTGAGGAGACAGGCCTGAACCCACCCTGCCCGGGGCACCTTCTGTCTTCAGGACTGCATCTGAATCCGTATCCGAACCCTCCTCGGCCTCCGGGACCCCTCTAGTGGCCACCGTCTCCTCCTCCCGCTCTTCATTCTCCCCAGACCTCTCCCAGGGACCCCTCATGGTCATACCCATTTCACAGTCACAGGCACTGAGGCTGGGACTGAGCCAGTGGACACCTAGAGCGCTGCCTGAGATTGTGGGTGGCCCGCTGGCTGCATGGAACAATCGAATGTGGCGTACAGTGAACAGGCGCCCCCAGCAGCCAGTAGAGATGTGCTCCTCCAGCGGCAGTCGCCCTGGCAACCCCGTGCAGTCGGTGCTGCGGAAACCACCACTGGCCTGCGTTGACCTGGAGCCTGCTCCTGGTCAGGGCGCAGAAGGGCACGTGCCACGGGCCAGGCGCAGGGCTGGGCGCCTCGCTGGTGTTTATTCCCCTGCCATCTGGTGTGGGTCCAGCATCACCCTCTTGGGTAGACTGGGGACAGTGCCTGACTCCAGAGCTGGGCCTTAGTCCCTGTGCTCGGGGGGTGGGGGAGCTCTGCCGGGCATCGCACAGGAGGGACTGGGAACCTTGCAGAGCCAGCCACCCTCTTCTCCGAAGCCAGAGTCCCGCTCCCACTCTGTGGGTCCCAATTCTCTCTCAGGCTCCAGTGTCGCATATGCAGCTTCTTCCTCCAGGAACATTCCTCCCCAGCTGTGCTTGCTGAACTTCAGAATCTGCAGGTGTCAGCTCAGAGGTCCCTTCTTCCTGAAGCTTTCCTTGGCCCCTCCTCTGGGCCACTGCTGCCCCTATGACCCCCTCTCAAAGTACCTATAACACCCGTCATCCCCTCACTCCCCAAGGAAATGGGGCCAGAGGGCAGGGGAGAGGGGCTGCTCCTCTCTGAGCCCCAGGGCCAGGCAGAGGGAGTCTGGAGAGGAAGGGAGGCCCAGGGCAGCTGGGGGTAGGCACTGAGCCCAGGGCGGGGGTGGGGCTGGGTCCTGCCCCCAGTGGGAGTGTCCCTTTACCAGCTGCTGGCCTGGCCTGGCCTGGGCCCCTGCTTTTCCTCCTGTGCAGCTGGGGCTGCAGCTGCTCTGCTGACCCTGCTCCCCGGCAGCCAGCAGGAGCTGAGGGCGTGGGCTCCCCAGGGGCTGTGACAGGCTGGGGGCTTCTGGATTAAAACTGAGAAGTAGGTGGTGACCAGGAACTAGGGGGTGGGCGCCCCGCAGAGGCTGCTGCAGCTCTGGGTCATCGTCTCGGTGAGGGGGTAAGAGAGTGGCTCCTGGGCAGATTGGCTGGAGGGACCGTGACTGTTCCTGCTGGGCTGAGGGTGGGGGTGTGACTCCTCAGGGGCTGGGCTGGTGGTAGTGGAGGGGGCAGGTTGGGACAGGGTGGGGGCAGAAGGAAGGATCTCCGTCTGTCTAGAGGCAGCAGGTACAAGAGCAAGCCGCGTGCTCGTGTCCTCCTGTGTGCCCACCTGCCTCCTTTCCTGGACCTTGTCCCCAGCCCTGTGTTGGGCTCTGGGCCCAGAGCAGGATGGGTCTCACTCTGCCCAGGAGGCCCCGGGAGGGGCAGGAGGTAGTCCCTGACACCTGTGAGAGCTGGAGCCCTGGGGCCCCTGAGAAAGACCACAGTTGTGGCTGGGTCAGGGAAGCCTTTAAGGGGGGAGCTGAGTCTGGCCGGGGCAGGGGAGGGTGAAGGCTGGGGAAGGAGGTGGTTTTGGGCATCTGGGTCTGAGAGCATTGTCTCTCCGATGCGTGGCCGGAACTTCTGGGCTGTGCAGGGTGTTTGGGGTGGAAATGAGGCTGGAGAAGAGGCAGGAACCCTGAACGCTGTGCTGGGAGCCTACAGGGTGTAGGGGCTGAGTGGGTGGGGCCCAGCTCTGCCACTGCTCACCGAGTGCCAGGGACACACCACACTGCCCATCACCTCCTACCACAGTGGGCCCTCCTCGAGAAAAAACGCTACCAGGAGCAGGACCCGGACCCCAGTTTTCCGTCATCACCAAATTCAAAGGGGTTTCTGTGACCCACATCAGAGAGCTGGGGAACCGGCTGTGGGACGTGGCTGACTTCGTGAAGCTACCACAGGTGGATGCCTTGGTGCTGCTGCCAGGCGCTGACTCCTCTGACTCTACACTTGCAGTGAGTGAGTGCAAGAGGGGCCTGTGATGCCAGAGGGGATGCTGGCGCTGTCTCAGGGCTGGGCTCAGGAAGGGCCTGACAGAGGAGTGGCCCTGGAAAGGGCTCTTGGGGATGTGTAAGAGGTTTCCAGGTGGACAAGGGGTCAGGAAGCCAGGCCAGAGGTATTGCATTCACAAAGGCTGCATCCGGAAGAGTGGGGGGTCTGGGAACTCAAGGCTTGATCTAGAGGGCGGGGTGGAGGGGCCTCGGGACCAGGGCCTGGAGCTCCTGAGTGCTCTCCTCCCTGACCTAGGCACTGTGGTCTGGCTGCTGCTCTGCCCTTCCCATCCTGCATTTCTGGCCCCTTCTCCCTCCACCTAGATCCTCTATAGCCCCAGTTTCCACCTTGCTCTGCTGACACCCCAGTTGTAGCCCCGGTGACCACCTGCCCGACCAAAGCTGCCTCCTGATGCGCAACCACCACGTCCAAGGAGAACCCCTCTCCCTCTCCCAGTGTGGCCTCTTTCCATCCACTGAGGGCCATGCCGTCTACCAGGGCCAAAGCTGGACCTGGCTCCCAACCTCCCTGCCCCTCCTCCTGTCCATTCCTTCTCTTGACGGGTTTCCCTGCTGCCCCCGCTGTGCCTGTGGTCTGCTTGTGGGCCCCCAGGTGCACTCCATGCAGCAACCAGGCTGAGCCGTCACAGGTGACACCATCAGAGCCTGCCAGCCCTTGCTTTCCACCCTGGGAAGGCTCCCTTTCCATGATGGTGGCCACCAAGTCCCTGCAGATCCTGGCCACTGCCACCCCCAGCTGCCCTCTGCCCAGCCCTCCCCTCCCCTTCCTGGGTGTGCCTCCCCTGAAATGTGCAGAGCTTTCACCGGCAGCAGAGAAGGTGCCAGCCACCCTTCCGCACAGCCACCCTGCCTTTGTCGCAGGCAGAGCTCACCACCTGCTCCCCTCATCCTCGGCCATGTGTGCAATGAGGGGTCCACTCCCCACAAGCTTAGGTGGGAGCCCGGCCCAATAATGTTTTGGATCTTCAGTGTTTAGAAACAGGAGGCTCTTGGAAAATTCTGGTTGAGTGAATGAGCGTGAATATGAAAAGAAAACTTGCCTCAAAGAGGCAGACAGGGTCTCAGAAATGGCCAGAAACCCAGCCAGCCTCCCACCTCTGCCTCAACTTGCCTCACTGGAGGCATTTTCCTAGGGCACAGGGTTGATAACTCGATGGGCCGGGACCCCTTTCCTCACAGACCCGGCTGCCAGCTTCTGGCCTCTCCCACTGAGGGAGCCAAGCAGGGGCCCACCCTGATCCTTGCCTTCCAGGGAGAGAACATGTTCTTCTTGGTGACCAATTTCCTTGTGACACCAGAACAAGTTCAGGGCAGATGCCCAGAGGTAAGGCTGCCTGGGAGCCTCCCAGTGAGTCCCTGTTCCTCCACCAGCCCTGGGTCAACAGCCGTGTCCCCCCTTCTCCTTCCCAGGTGACTGAGGGCTCAGTATGTGCTGCTGTGTCCCAGGCACTGAGCTAAAACCTTTTCGTGAATCATTTCATTCAGTCTCACAAACATCCCGCCTGGCAGGAAGTACTGCAGTCCCCATTTAAGATGAGAGGACTGAGGCCCAGCCAGGTTGAGTCACTGACCCAAGGCCTCCAGCCTGTGGGTGAGGCTCCGCACCTCTGAACAGTCTGCTTCCAGAGCCTTCCACTATTATTCTCTGTGAGGTGTCCAAGCCCCTCCCCATCCTGGTCCCTCCTCTGGGCACTCTCCAGGTGATGAGTGTAACCCCCAGATCTGCGTGTAATGCTTAGGTGGGCTCTAATAGCAAGAGCCAAGCTGGATGATCACCTCCCCTTCTCTATGCCCAGCCTCTGTTAATGTGTCGCGGGGCAGCTTCTGTTTTTGTGGGCAAACACAGCACACTCCTTCTTATGCTGAGCTCAGGGTCACTCATGTTCTCTGGGTATTTTTCACTACAACTGTGGTCAAGCCAGAGTGCCCTGGCCTCTTCTTGCCCATTCATGCAGAAATGCAGACTCTCCCCAAAATCTCAGCTTTTCCTCTCACCTGGGGACGTCCCAGGGATCCAGCGTCTGTCCCAGAGCACACTTGCTGTCTCCTCAGCTGTGAATTTGTTTCCAATATTTTTATTGCCATAAAATATATGTAACATAAAATTTATCATCTTAACCACTTTCACGTGTACACTTCCCCGATTC